ACGAGACCCCAATTCCTAAAATACAAAGTTATATCACAGAAAAAAAAAATGCGTTTTGTTACACTTATTTTGCAATTTGCACTCCCAATAAAATACTCATTTTCCAGAATTCAAGTCGCTGATGAATCCGTTCCTATCGTTCAAGCTTCACACACGTTTGGTCGAGTGTCGGGCGGTATTTTGGACGACGATAAATTAAAAAGTTGCCACACGTGGTTTGTATAACGATAATAACTGAAAATTAAGATTTTGCAGTGAAATGAATTTGTCTGAAAGTGTTATTTTACGAGTCTTGCCCGCAGAAAATAAACACCCTGACATGCTTGATTATAATTGATGGTTGTTAGATTTATTTTACACCATTTATTAACGCGCCCTACCAAGTGCGGCCACATAAATTGCAGTTGCCTCAGTATGGTCAATGTTTTTTCATAGCTAATTTTCGTATTTCACAACTTAGTATCAAGGGGTATAATGCGCTATTTATGTATGCGCTTCTCGTTCAACATTCATTTCAAGGATTTCAGCGTTTCACAAGGTCGAATAAAAATTATTAATTAAATGGATCGATATTTCGCGACACATTCCAAATTATTTGGGAACCACTATCATATCATCATTTACTTTTTAGATTCATGTTCTTCGATAATCATCCTCGTTGTGTTTGGTTTACATGTGTTCCTATTGTAATATATGGAAAAGGTCGCACTCGGCCATGAGATGCGAATATTTTATACTAGGTTTGCAGCATTAGAGAGAGTGCTATTTATAAATGCTGAAAGTACATGGTATTCATTACTAAAAAATTTGTCACTATATCAGTGGTTCTCAACCGCCGGTCCGCGGCAACCTTGCTGCCGGTCCGCCAAATATTTTTCCAATATTAATATATATATTATAAGCAAATTGCAAATTACAAAGTATTGATGGCATGTCCGTTAGTTTTATGATTTTTTTTTAACTCTTATTGATTCGTAGTATCGGTATTCGTCTAACAACCGGACTTGGTGAGAAGTCCTCTACCCAGGGTTGTTCAAATCGAATCGAATATTCGAATTAATTCGAATAGCAAACTATCCGAATACCTTTTCGGCTGATTTTCGAATAATTTCGAATGGGAGCCACTTTTCGCCGTAAACACAGTGTTTCGTTTTACCGTGTTTTTTCTGTATTTTTTATTGAAATACCCTTTGCATCCTCGTGAAACTACTCCACAACGTTGCGTTCTGGCAGACGCATAAGTTGCCGAAATTATATTTCAAAAATGTAAGTCAAAATTCTTGCTTTAACTTTCACTTCTATTGCGTACATATATTGCCAAGTTTGGATCGATACCAAAGCCATACGATTTTAACATGAATATATATCCGAAATACCAGAGAGACGTTTTGATCATGAAACTTATTCAATCAAGGGCAGCCTTCGACAAAACAAGGTGCGGTACGATAATGAAGAATATAGTTACATCGGCGGCAACCTGATTTAAACGATAAACAGGCTATGCTAATTGTAAGACCCCTCTGATGCAATGATGTCAAAACTAATCTGTTATCAACCCATAATAGGGATTTGAGTTTCTGTATTGACATTTTTCTCATAAAATAAAGGCATTATTACGGTTAAAAATATTCGGTTAATTTTTAATGTATACTTAGCTTACTTTGTTCTTAATGTTAAAGTGATGGAGTTTTTCAAAGTTATACAAACTTATTTATTCGGTCGTATTTCAATTTTCGCAGGGTGGTTCTTGCCGAAGAGTCAGTCACGTAATGGCTTATCGGTTGCATTTTCCTACGCCAACTACTTTTGCGGACGCATTGAACTAAAGCTTGAGAAGGCGTGTATGGGCCTTCATCGATATTTGTGGCGTTTCGAAGGATTTATTGCGAATAAGAAGCGCTTGAAATGTTTTTGCATCCATTTTTCTTTAACCTATTTAATTAATACAAAAAATATCGGAACTTCCGAAGTATGAGAACCAAGATGGCGGACACCAGAACGTGGTATGTCCACCAGGTTAGGGTTAGGCTATAATTTCAGGTACAAATACTACCGGAGTCACTTGGCTAGTCCCCGAACTCATAATAGAACAAAAATACGGGAAATTGGAATAAAATTATGGCCTAACCCTAACCTGATACACATACTACGTCCATTGTCCACCATCTTGGTTTACATACTACTTTTAAAACAATTCTTCTTGAACGAATCCCTGCACACAGTACGGTACCTAATTGAGAACCTCGCAGTTCGCACGTTCCGTAATTTACAGTAATAATTACCTATAATTCAGAGAGGTTTGATAGTAAAATGGAGACAAAAAATCAACAAAGTGTTATCCCAGTCTTTCAAAAGAAACCCAGCGGTGAAAACCAAGTTAGTGGTGTTGACAGGACAGATGAAAAGACTGCTACTTCAACTCCCAGCAGCGAAAAAGTACCTCTTCCCATGTGCCAAGTCTGCGCTAAAATTCTTTCAAACGACGCAATGAAACCCGCAAAGCCAACGAAAAAAATAATATCAAAAAGACAGCAGCAAATTTCTCATTAAATTGAATTTTTTTGCACCGCCTACTTTTGCCGTAATTGCATTCTTCCGATTATGTTTTGTGTTCATGACATTTTTGGTTAATTTTGAAGGTCCGCCGGTCCGCGAAATTTGTTTTGAAATTTCCCCGGTCCGCGAACTGAAAAAGGTTGAGAACCACTGCACTATATGATATTTTCTAACCGATCTGAACTAAGGCAAGCCCACATTTAAAAAAGAAATGTCTTTGCATAAGCTCTGAGATATTTGAATATAAATGAGAAAATAGGTGAAGCTAGCTCATGAAACAGGGGAGGATTTTCCAAGGAATCTTGCATAATATTTCGGAGGCCATGTAAGTCAACATATCTCTTAGAACAGTGTTTTTCAACCGGTGTGCCGTAAACTATCGTCAGGGGTGCCGTGTGAAATTTTCCAATTTGTATGTTCATGCGATGTAGCGCCTGGCAGAGTAATCATGTAGTACTGTTCTATACCAGAAGGTGACAGCAGCAGGTGGCGATTTGCCGCTATGTTTGTTTTTATTTGATCACTATTCAAGATGTCCAATTCAGCATCTTTCTTCAATGTTTCTTCAAGAAAGTTCATATTAACAATTTAACACTTATATTGTGAACATCAGCTCTTTTCCCCACATTTTCAGCTGGTGGTGTGCCGCAGTATTTTCTCAATGAAAAAAGTGTGCCTTGGCTCGAAAAAAGTTGAAAAACACTGTATTAGAACAGCGGGTGGCGGCTTTCAAAGTGATTTAAAGTGACAAATTAATAATTATTCGATTAGGGTTAGGGATAAATTAAAAAGTTGAATAATCAGCGCAATCTGCATTCCTAACCCTAATTGGATAATTACTATTTTTATTTGGGTGTTGATGGGGGATGTTATTTTGCACTGGCTTTGTACAAATGATCTACCCCGTAACTAATAGGATTCCAGCTTGCGTGTTTCGACCGTTGTCTATTAGATGGAAGGAGTAACACAAATGTGAAGATAGCCTTTGCTGTTCACGCGAATTAGCACCCATTGATTGCACGAAAGTTTAGTTCGCTACAGGCGTGCTTAGCAGGTGTCATTTTGTTACTGATGAATTTGCTCGTTTTAAACAAGGATTTAAACGAAACTCTGTTAACGGAAAGACTCCTATTTAATTTGCAATATTAACGGAAGGAGCGCTCCTTCGAGTATCTATGTTGTCTAAAGAAGTTAAAATAAAAGCTAGGGCACCTTACTTTTAAAATGCACTTTCGCACTTTTATTTTCGACTGCGAAGCACTTTCGCATTCATAATTCGCTCAGAATTAACACTGGTACCAGGGTGGCGATGGAAAACAAAGTGAACTTGGTCAGGGTGCAGATGTGGTTTTGAAATGGACAGAAATCTTACCAAATAATTGAAATTATAAGCTTTTTGGCAAACTTTTTACGATCGTTCCTTAAAATGAAAAACTGATGGATGCTGGAATAAATTAAGTAGGTACGGTGCAAAAACCGACTTGGAAACATGAAGATGGCCGATGTTGAAGAAAAAAAGTGCTTATAAAAGTGCTTATAGAGTTGAAGTTTTTTATTTTTCGATCTAGATACCATCAATTGTTACATCATTATCACATTTTAAGCATGAGTATATCTGGTATAGACTAGAGATGTACCGATGTATCGGTATCGGCAATATCGGCCATTTTTTTGGTATCTGCCATGTATCGGTATAGGTTAGATTGAGGCCGATATTTCCGATATATTTACCTTTTTGATATGGCCCCACCGCGAGAGAATAGAATTCACGTGTTTTTAGCTATTTATCAGCCAAACTAGCTCAACTAATTTGGCTATTTGCGTTGTCAAATTTTTATACTGACATTTTTAATATTAAATAACAATAATAAAGAAATATATCAACCCAGCACATAACAAAAAGCAACTAGGCGCCCAGTTTTAAATCATACAGTGGAATTGGGGTCCTTATTAACGGCACATAGACTTTTGGCAAAGGTATAAATTCTGTTTGTCGTCAAGTACGAGTGTCATTTAGTCCGTCGACATCGATAAACTAAATTCCGACACAATTATTCCTCTACGCAGGTATTAATTTTAATTTTTTTCAACTACACAATTACTTCATAGATATATTGACATGACCGCCTAGCCCTAGACAGTCTCAAAATATATGATAGCAATTGTAAAATAGTAGTAAAGTAAAAAAACATCCTCGACGGTTATAGGTAGGCCTTCCTTTTGTCGGTGCTGGTTGATATTCTTTCATGTTGGCTTCGACTTATTGCGTCGACGATAACGATTAGCCACGAAACTGATTCGACTGAAACTGATTCAACTGATGGACTCGTGCATACTACAATAGCTGGATGTACTGCCCTAACAACTCCAATTTCTGCAGATTTTTCAATTTATAATTACGCATTTATGCTGGTTACTTTTTACTCTCAAAGATTTCAACTCACCTTTGCATTGCCAGTGTTTTCCTTGAAAGCTTTCATTCCTTCTGCTGTCAGTTTGCAACCCCAAGCCTTGAACACCTTCACCTGACATTGTGTAACAACTAATCCAACTTCAGCCCAACCAGCAGGTCCAAGATCCTTGTTGAGACTGACATTTAGTTCATCCAACTGAAATAAATATGAAATGTAAGAATGTTCAACATGGTAGGAATGTCAACAAAGCAATTGATTAATCAGTAATAAAAAATCTCAAGCAGAACAGCTGTGGGAGAAATAAATGAAGTGATCTAAATGGATATCTACTAAAAGCAGGAAGATAAAACTTGCAGTACTCAAATTACTACTATAAAGAAGAAATTGCATTACTGCCAGAGATTCTCCAATAAAAATTCATTTTATAGTCTTATTTGAAGCTGAATCAATCCCTATGCAATGATTATATGACTATGGGGCAGATAGCTTAGAGCAGTGATCGGCAAACTTTATGTAGTCGCGTGCCAAATATCCACTTTTTCGGTAGCTTATGGGCCGCATAAAACGCCTATAAGCAATCGCTATATTTAACTTCAAATTATGGCGCACTCGCACCTTCTATTGTTATGTTGAAAGACTGCCACAATGAGACGTGTATGTTTCCTTTTTATATAGTTTAAAGAACAATACATGCTTTTATTTAATTATTAACAGTGTGTAGGATGATGTTGTTTCGGTGTCCTGGCCAAAGCGGCACCCGCAGTACGTCGTCCAATTTACGATCTGACAAGCGAGTACGAAATTTAATCTTAGTGTAATACCTTTTAGATAAAGTTGCTCACAGCAATATGTGCTTTCGAACGTGCACACTTCACGTTGTACACTGTCGCACAGATGAGCAGTGGCGCAGCTCGTGGTCGAATTTCGTTTTTGCAATGACATGTTTAACATTAAATACCTTAATAACCGCGATGCCCACCTGGCCTATCAAGCAAACTGGTTTCAAAATCCGAGAGAAGGATAAATATTTTTTCTTCGCAGCACTTTGGAATGTTCGGCCCTCGTCGCAAACTTCCCTTCGTTTCCCAGACATTTTCAAATTTTGAAAATCGAAATAAACTTAACCAATAATTACAACCAACGATGGGACGTTCATCAAGTAAACAACCTACAACTGACACTACTTGTTATAAAACAAGCGGCACTTGTTACCACATAAATCCATGTGGATACAATGCATTTAGAATCAATTTTCGTTTTATGAATTAAAAGTCATTCGAGGGCCGCAGTCTGCCGACCCCTGGCTTAGAACAATAGTTCTCAACAAGTGGAACACAGAAACATGTTTAGGGGCAAAATTACTAGAGTTCTTAAAAAATTTAGTTAAAACTTCAAATGCAGAAGCAATAAACGACGACGATGTTTTTTCTGATTCTTATTTTAATTGTAGGAGTGTTTATCTTTGCAAAGAGAATTTTTTTTTCTTGTAGTTTTTTTCTGCTTGAGAAAGTTGATAAACCACAAAATTTTTGTGCAACGAAAAAAAAAAAGATTGAGAACCACTGGCTTAGAGTTAACAAGCCATATACCGCAATCGAGTTCCCAGTAGGTCATGATTCAACTGATGGACTCGTGCATACTACAATAGCTGGATGTATTGCCCTAACAACTCAAATTTCTGTAGATTTTTCAATTTATAATTACGCATTTATGCTGGTTACTTTTTACTCTCAAAGATTTCAAAACTTTCAACTTCAGTTTATCTTATGTATGATTTTGGTATGGTAGCCCAATTCTTGTCGAATTCCTCTTTTGCTCTTGGGGAGGAATACTGCTTTAGTACTAATATTCTTTAGTTCTCAATTACTCTTATAAAAATTAAGCACAAACTATAAACTACTAAAACTGTAGAAGATCCTGAGTGTGAATTGTGCATGACGCTATAGGAGGATCCATTGAAGATTGAATAAATAAAGTAGTTTTTATACAAAGGCAGGGAGGAATGAAGAGTTTCAAAATGGACGAAGGGAGGAATTCAAGAAAACTTTGGGAACCACTGAGGCAGAACATAGAACCACCTGAGCTGGACGAATCTCTATGATACGAGTTGGAACAATTAGTTATCTCGAATATAAATACTTTTATCAATTCCCAATATTAAGTTTACCTTCAAACAGGAACCTTCTAAATTTGACATCAGGATATGAACCAGTTCAGCATTGAGATAGCAGCCCTTAAGACGAACCCGAGTTAGGTGATTGCAGCGTCGTATATCTGATGACATTACATGCATTCCTGCTGTAGTGAAGGATTCGCCAGAGAATTCTATCTCCCTGATGCAGGATTGAATAAGATCGGTGTCGTTAGCTTCATATAATGTTCCATACAGCTCCAACTTCTGATATGATTCCATTTCTTCATATGACTGAGATGATAGAAATTCTCTCAGAATTTTTTTCTTCTCATCTTGTCTGGCATCTGGTAAGTAAAAATATTTTTAGTTTGAGAAAGGCTAACATGATCTTTAATCTGATGTAAAAGATGGGAGTTTGAATTCTGTGGGACTTATTTGGGGCAAACGGAATACTAAGTTGGCCATAGTTGTAGAGCAGTACAAATAGCATAACTACAGGCCTGATTCTCCGCCAGTTCAATACACAATAATTGGTATCCCTAAAGTATGTGAACCAAGATGGCGGACACCGGAACGCAGTATGTGTACCAGGTTAGGGTTAGGCCATAATTAGAGGTACAAATACTAGTGAAGTCACTTGACTAGTCCTCGAACTCGTAATAGACATAAAATTGGATGATAATTATGGCCTAACCCTAACTTGGTACACATACTACGTTCCGGTGTCCGCCATCTTAGTTCACGTGCTTCGGGATTATCCAATAAATCAGTCTTGTCTACTTTTTTCAAAGCCATGAAAGTCTAGATGTCGAACAAATTCAAACATGGTATGAAAGACATAACCAGGCGCGCAGCCAGGATTTTTAAAAGGGGGGGGTTTCAAAATCGGAAATTACTAATGCCGTCTGTAACAGTCACCGCATTCACGCGCTCGTTAATAGAGCCGCCTTTTCAGCTTCTGTCGCGTAGAATATTCAATTCATGACAACTACGAGATTCTAAAATGTCCTTACGTATATATTAATTTTATTGTCCCCAACGCAACTCGCGGTCTCGACTTTCTACGTCAAAATAAAAACATTACTGCCGTGGACATAAAACAATGAGATAAGCTGCCTGATATATTTAATTTTGATACGTATTTTTGCAATCTTGTGACCTCGTTATCGCCGTTAGTAAAATCTCGATATCTGATATAAACTGTCGCGGGACTCAACTAATCTTATAGCCTATTGTTTACGGTTTTGTTATCAGTATTTTGTATTGTCGATTTTCAGTCAAATTTAGATCGCGGGTTTACTCCTTCATTCGTGTTTAGAACCTCGTCGCCGATGAACGCATAATAACTCTCACCGAATTCACAATTCCTTGCAAAGTACAAAAAAAAAAATAATCATCATGTTTATCATGGCACAAATTTGTGATTTAGAGAGAATAAATACCGACGTAAAGGCGTTTACGGCCTAAATAACACACTGATGAAAACAATCGGCGATTTTAGCAGAAGGCAATTGTACGCTATTTCAGTTTTCACAATTCCGTGCGAGTACAAAAATAAAATAATTATAATTGTCCCCGTGGCACAAATTTGTGATTTAGAGAGAATAAATACCAACGAGAAGGCGATTACGGCCTAAATAACACGCCGCCTTGATGAAAACATACGGCGATTTTAGCAGAAAGCAATTGCACGCGTTATCGGCGACTTTTTCTGTTTTCAAAAAAATCCAAAAGGGGGGGGGTTTCGACCCCGAACCCCCCCTCTGGCTGCGCCACTGGACATAACAATACATTTAACTTACCAGGAGAAAAGTTTGTTACGAGACTACTTTCAATATCAGGATTCAGAATAATTCCACCCAATAGATGGCGAACAACTGCCCAATGATCATCTTGGAACTCAGTTTCGATAAATTTGCGAAACGTAGTAGAATCCATGTTTGAAATATAGAGAGCGGATAAAACTTCTTGAAGGACTTGATGGCTGAAGAACATCAAATGGTCTCCTTCCATGAGATGTTGGTTAAACATGTTTTTCCCAGGTACCTTGATGATAATGTCACGAACTTCATCGGATTGAAGTAGAAATTTTGTGAGATCATTAATTGTGAAAATGACTCGTTTATTTTTTGTGCCTTCAAAGGACATTCCCATCAAGTTTGGAAGTATTTCTTCAATCCGTTTCCTTTCATGTGTGTGATCGGATCTCATGAAGATGTGAAGGATTCGTAGCATTACCTCTGTCATAGTACCTGGTAGTTTCTCTGGGTTGAACTTACAAACGATTGCATTGAATATTAGGAAAAGTGGAACAGATGATAATGGAATGAGTGCGGGTGACTGCCTTGTTAATTTTTCCCAAGCTTTTTCACCGTCGTCCCCGACAACTGCAATGAACATCCTCTCGATTTCGTCTCGAGTGAAACCAGCAAGGGCAGTTATGAATTGAGGCCTCAATTCTAAAGGAAGGGATGCTATTCTGTGCTCACGGGAAGAAATCACGATCGTCATTCTGGGAAAGAGATTGCCTGTTATGAGATTCCACATAATTGTTGCTGTGCTCGATTTATCGGTATACTTCATCTTGTTGTATTTTCCAAGGAGATTCCAAGTTGCCTGATCCAGGCCGTCAAGGAAAAGAATACACATTGATTGATTTTCTTGCAGCCATTCGTAACCTTCTCCCACATCTTGTGTTGCGAGTCCAAAAGCTAATTTTCCAAAAAGTAATTCGCATGGACTTATGGCTTCTTCTGCTCTGTTTCCTGGTAAAAACAGGATATCTTTGATATTCAAGTGATGAATAAATTTGAATCGACGTCCTGTATTACCAAATAGCCGGTTCCTTAATCCTTCACTTATTTGAGCTTGTTTGACTAATTTGTTGGCAGCTAGAAGGCTTCGAGCAAGACGTTTCATGATTGTCGACTTCCCACTGCCCGCCTGACCCAGTATGGCGATGTATCTGTATTCTTTGTTGCTCAAATGTTCCACAAGCACATCCAGAGAAATAATTTCCCCAACTTTATTATCAGTAGCTCTAACAGTAAATCCAGTTTCCAAAGTATATTCCGTAACTTTGGGGGCCATTTCTCCACGGTAGAAGCGTGGTACCTTTCTTATTTGAGGATTCACTTCAAAGTCTGGTTCTTTCAATTTTGCTTCTTTGTAATTTTCTGTGATTTTAACTTTGGTTTGCTCCCAGGTCCTGTTGTTGAAGTAATTGATGAATTTTCTTGCACGGTTCCCTGAAAAAGGTTTGAATTCAAATAAATTACAAGTTGAATAATGCTGATGAAAATAAATTATCATAATATACAGAGATATTTAGTATGTGGCCATTGGATCGCTAAAATTCAAGCTTTTTAACTTTCATTAATTCTAACTTTCATTTGAGTTTTTTTTGATATCTGACAAGCAAGCCAAAATCTCAACACACTTGTCGTGTCGTAACCATAATCATAATAGCGTTCTATCTTCTGCTTAAAACAAACCACAATGTCCTTTTAAGGTAGCGCATAAAGGTAGCGAATAAAGTACCTCCGTTAGAAACAACAAACCATATATGAATAATAACTTATTCTATGAAACTTCATGATATTTTAGGGGAAATATTCTTGACCCATAGAAATGTTTTGATTATTTATTTAATCAGTATTTTAACTCAAAGCAACACTGATTATTATTACTGATATTATTGACCCATAGAAATGTTTTTATTATTTATTTAATCAGTATTTTATCTCAAAGCAACACTGATTATTATTACTGATATTATTGACCCATAGAAATCTTATAATTATTTATTTAATCAGTATTTTATCTCAAAGCAACACTGAGTATTTACGCAATGACGAGTTCGGTACAACATTCTTTATTAGATTATTTGGTATTCATTAAAAATATTCAAATTATTTTATTAAAAAAAATTTGTCACCACTAATCGCAGCACATGTACCGTAAATACTGTATTCAACGACAATGAAAAAAATTGTCTTGATTAACACATTACGCTGCACCAAGTAATTATCTAATTCATGAAACAATGAACAATGTGATATCGTTACCGCTGACCATGCATAAACGGTCAACGTATAGTAGATGCTTGAAATAGGATGAGCAAAATATTTACTCAACGACGTCTGACAAAGGGTGGCGAGCTACTCGCAAATATGGAATTCGTTCAACAGCGTTTCGCTATGATCGACACACAATTTTAGAACGCACAATTTTTAGTTCTTCAAGCGCCTTACTGTGCCGTGAATTGTACTATTTGCACACCGTTTTAATTCCACAGTAATCATGCCCATTGTTTCAAAAATCATGGCTGCGCCCCTATCCATGCAAACATCTTTCCAAAGCGAAAGAGTTTATAGACACGTGGCAAAGGATTTTTTTTCCATCTTTGTTTTCATACTTTTCGAAAACACATGGTGAAGTCATTAGCAAAAGTTTTGTGTGTTGCAATCTTGCGAATAAACGTGACCTTGATAAATCAACATTTGAGGGATTTATTGTTGAAACAAAACAAGAAAAGAAACTTTTTTTTGACGCTCAATTTTCACTACCACTTCATGAGAGCTACCACTACTGTGAGAGAATTTTATAAAATACACTGGGCAATTGACTTTAATTAATACAAGAGAAATTGTTGGTGATATACAGATTCTGCTGATTCAAAAAGTAAGTTGTGAGCGATTCAATAATGTATTAATTATCAAGAACTGCAAGTTTATTAAAACAAAAAATATTAAGCATTTGACGAGGCTCAAGTATTTGTTCGGTGTCATTATAAAAATGAATGTTTACATCGAATAACAAGTAGAATTGGCAGTTCTCAAATCAATATGTCCAGTTATTATTTTGAAAACTATTATTACACAAAAAGTAACCGACAGTCCAACATCATATACAAGAAAAGTACTTTACCTTTACGAGTGGCTCTCTGTACAAGTTGTAGGAGTAGGACACCTAAAAAAAATACGCAATTATTTTCTAATGTAAAGAGAGTTTGTATTCGCTAGTATGAAGAGAAAACAAGTACTGGAAGAATTTTTTCTTGCCATAGATCACCCCTTGGAATTAACAGGGATTTACTAGATAAGGTTTTAAAAGTAATATTTTATTTCAAGCTCGAATAACTCCATTTTCAAAAAATAAATAACAATTTTGATAACTATGACATCAACAACATTTCAATCAGATTTTATATGACAAGTGACTCTAGAAGTCAATATAATAGAAAGTGTGCTCATTTCGACTAACTGCTCTATTAATTTTCTCTTGAAAAAAGCAATGCTTGAATATGAGAAACACAAAAGTCTAATGTCATATTCAAAAATTCTCCTTTTTGTCAATTTTGTCACAACAACAGTTGAGACCTATAGGCCCAGTACACATCCGATAATTATCAATATACACACCTAATCGAGGAGGCGTCTCTTCATAGACTGGACAAGGTAAATCATTTGAAGCAAGTCTGGCATCAGCGAATTCATTTTTTCTTTGCGCTGTTGTTGCACCTGAAGTCATAAATATAAATTTCTATGAAAGTAGCATTAATTTTTTTAAAAGACCATCACTTGCCTGAGATGGGCACAATGCTTTTCCTTGGCCCACAGCCAGTTTACAATGGACCTTACCCTTATGACCAACCTTTTTCTCAATGCATAGCTTGCTTAGTAGAAACAAAACTTTTCTTGGCATACAGCAATTTAGAAATGGTTAGGAACTTTATCAAAGCGGTGTGGCCAGTTTAGGATGGGCTTTAGCCTCATGACCATAGCATGCCTGGGATGAGAAGAACCTTTTTCTTGGGGTTTAGTAGGAACAAAACCATAAACTAAGGCATGCAGCTTGTTTAAAAAATACATAATTATTTTAAAGGGCATAACCACTTTAGGATGGACCTTAGGACCAAAGCTTGCCTGGGACGACGAAACCTTTTTCATCGGGCATGATTACACTTGGAAACGAAATGAGTCTTGGAGTTAGTCAAACCTGTCAGTACTCATACGATATTAATTGGAATCATGATTTCTGAGGAAAACTCGAAAAGCACAGGCTTGCATTTTCAGAAGACACTAACAGAAAGTTTTTGCCACCGGGACATTGGTTCCCAATAATTGGAGCTAGCGTCAAAGTAAAAATTTACCAATACAGGGTTAACATATTTGTCAACCAGGAGTCAAAACCAATTTTATTTCTGAATGCATCACATTATATTTCAAAATCTTGACAGTCATTCAATTTGTTCAAATCAAATGTTTATTTACCATCACGTGATCTTTCCCCGATGATAATGACGCTGTCACGAATAATTGTCGTTGCTCCTTCTCCCTTGGTTATCATTCCTTCACCTACAATATTGACAAGAGTGTTCCTCAGTAGAGCTCGACCGATATATCGGCCAACCGATATATCGGGCCGATATTGCGTGTTTGCCGATATATCATATCGGCCCAACCGGCCGATATATCTGGCCGATATATATCAGCGTTAGTCGCTTTTCCACGTTCTAAAAAATGAGTATTTTTCCCCGGGAAATATCTGCGGCCGAGCGTTTTCCTTTTTTACGCTTCTCTCATTTTGCCTTTCAATGAACAGAGAGTTCTCTTCTATATTTCTCCCTTCGTGCGGCGCAAAATCCTCGCCTTCGAATATCTTGCGTCCCCACTAGGCTTGCACGTAATCGACAAAAATCAATTCCGTAATAACGGAAAAATTGATTACGTAATGACCCCGTAATTGCGATATTTTTTCACACGTTTAAACCTATCATAAAAATCATTCGAATCCACTTCTTTTCCGAATGGGACATCGAAGTTTGGTTTTCATATTACCGACAGTACTACACGCCGGCGACAGATGGTAAAGACAAATACCAAGGAGTGAATTCAAATTAAATTTATTCTGATTTTTATCTTGTTTAATTGTGTTTGCTTTGATTTTCCTTTATCACGTTCGCAAATGAACCGTCCCAATTTTATGCGATCAATTTTATCATTACCGATAATGGTATACGGATATTTATGAAACGATAGTTGCCTTTTTTAAAACCGACTTTCGTATTGAATAAAAATTTCGGGTTTCTAAGTTATTAATCAACGACAAGCGTATTTTCTCATTTGATTATACCTGCGCTTGCCTCGCGACGAAGACTTGTTATTGCTCCGTTTTTTTACATTATCCGACTTTGCTACCTAGTTAGCATTTTATAATAATTATTGATGCTGAATTATTGACGATATTCCGATTACCAAGCTCCATTTTATATCAAATCATTTCGCGGCCTAAATGTTATAACATTATTTGCGATAAATTTAAATCAAATAATAATTATTTAGCCAGCGATAAATTCGTACCCGTAACTTGTTGTAAATTAATGATAATAAATTCTATTTTGTTTTTTAATGCGCTGTGATTTGTATTAATAAAAGTGATTGAGTCGGGAAAAGAAAGTAGCCTAGCCTCCTCTCCTTTTGAGCGCTTATAGCGGCGGTAAAATTCGTTTCATGTCTGTTTCACGGAGAGAAAGAAAAATACGCCTTCCGGAATTACAATCAACTATCACACATCTTATTTATCATTATCAGCGCCGAAGAAAAAAGATACCAAATCGTGAAGACAAAAAAGTCTGTCGGTGATAACGCTTATAATAATATCGTTTTGACCGTGAAACCAAATGCTCAAACGGGGTGGCAACGCGTCATGCCGGCTCAAAACGGCTGCGAATGCCGGAACTCTAACTTCTTCTACTTGTTCAACTTAGATTTTTTACAATCGACGGAATTGACTGCTCGGAAGGAGCACGTTTCAAACGCGAAAGCGCTCGACCAATAATTACGACTTTACGTAATTTGTAACTTCCCTTCCGTAACTCCAAACAATTCCGTAAATCCGTAAATTACGTGCAAGCCTACTCCCACCGACTACTGTATGGATCAAAATGGACTTCTATAAGCTTTATGTATGTTCTTATTATTTGCTGCGAAACTTTTATTAATGATGCAAGCACTGTGTAGGACTGCTTTATTTTTCAACATAAACTTTTGATTGACTGAAACTGAATGTTTCTTTCTATTTGTATTTACTGCGGGTTCGAGTTGTAGATATCGGTATGTCAATATCGGTTATCGGTCACTAGTTGGCCGATATATCGTTATCGGTATCGGTGCCAAAAAGTGATATCGGTCGAGCTCTATTCCTCAGCATAACATAAACTAAAAATTCCACTAATTGTCAGTGATTAACTGGTCAGACTAAAAGAGATGTAACAATGCTACAGCAATACATCGGACTTCGGAAGCAAGTATGTTAAAACGACTAGGAAATTTAAGTAAATTTTCAATGATAGTATAGAAATGACAAAGCTACCATTTGTGGTAATTTTTATTGTATATTTCATGTAATTAATATTGCTTATTTCGGCATTCTTAACTTTGTTGTATGTTTACTGCCAACGACAATTTTCTGCGGATTAATACTTGGCATGCTTTTACCTGAGTCATTGATTGTTGGTGCTTCATAATTTGTGAACTGTTTTGAGATGCTGCTAACGTTTAAGAGAATTAAAGCCTAGTATTTGTGGAACTCATGCATTTGCTTGCGAAGTAATGAACTTAAACTTAGGTTACAACACAATTTAGCACAATCAGACATAAATTTCAAGCTTTTACCTCCCATAATGTGAATGTTTGATTCGTTAATTTCTACATTCGTAGGTTCCTCTGTTTGTAATAATGATGCAGAACCTTAATGGAAGAGAGATGTACACATAAGTAACAATTTATTGGTAGTAACTCATATTGAAAGATAGGCAGACTAGATAGTTATAATCTATCAAATATTTTCTGCTCTAAGTTGGAGGATTATACCAAAAACAAACATTACAATCAAAAGTTGTAGTAAAGTAAAAATCAATCTAAGAAGACGCCATACAGTTTAGGTATTTGCCTTCGCAGTGACTACACGTAGCAATTGGACGATGCAATGGCTTGGCGCAGGAGTGTTCAACCTTTAATACAGGAGGACCAGATACAAATAAGTGGGTGAAACTGTGAGCTGCACTTTCATTTAACATAAGCTTTCTAATAGTTGCAGGCACAAAAATTTTGGGGAACTCTCGTAGTATGTGAACCAAGATGGCAGACGCCGGAACCTAGTATGTGTAAAAGGTTAGGGTTAGGCCATAGTTTTAGGTACAAATACTATGAGTATCACTTAGCTAGTCCCCAAACTCGTAATAGAACTAAAATAAGTAAAATTGGAATAAAATTATGGCTTAACCCTAACCTGGTACACATACTACGTTCCGGTGTCCGCCATCTTGGTTCACATACTACGCGAGTACCAAGCTTTAGATATGGATCTTATGACATATTTTTTCACTTCGTGCAAGCTAGCTGTTAGGGCAATGTATTGTCATAGGCATAGATACCAAATTGGACTCAGGTATAGTCTTGGCAACACAAAGTGACTGTTATTACCAGATTGAACTGCAGTAAAAACTCGTTTTGCGGACAGCACGCCATTCAAAATTGGGATTCCCCTGCGTGCCGCACAATTTGTTCTTGTGGGCCGCAGGTTGCGCATTCCTGGTTCCTAGCGATTGAAGCCCCATGCCCCCACCTAACCCAAGGTGTAATAAATTGGGGGGGGGGAGAAATCAGGACCAGAAAGATTCCAGTCCTTACAAAAATAACATATCAGTGGCTGCTTGGTCGCCCCAGTAGTATGTGTACCGATATGGAGGTAACTAATTTTGTTCGCCTACTTTACATCAAGTTGTGTAAAGGGACGGAAGCCCATGGGCAGGGGGTATTCAGTTGGCTAACACAGACAGCCACCGAACTCGAAATAGAACAAATATAAGGAAAAATCTGAGTAAATTATGGCCTAACCTGGTACACATACTACGGAAGTACCGCTGCTTGTACATTAGCTGTGTTCGGAGCAAAAGACACGAGTAAGCGTCGTATAAAAACATTCGAGACTTCAAACAAATGGGAATCAATGAATATATCAGGACAGATTATAAATACACTCACCTGCCACAAGTAAATCTTGATTGCTGTATTCTAAGTCAACGTTGCGTCGTTCTCTGATTTGTAAACGAGATGCGGAACCTGAATTGAAATGAAATTACTTTGTTGCAAGACAAATAATCATCGCACAGAAACATATTGTGGAATACGTTGCCTATATCAAAGGTAGCCAAAGTTTCAAACTCCAGGCAATTTTTTTCAAAATTTACTTCGTCTACAATATCTAAAAAGAACAGTTGAAAAGTGAACTCCTAATTTGATATCTTGGCTTAGGATTATGATGTCACACAGTTGTCGTATTATCTTTCTGCTAATTTACCTCACATTTAAATTTATTTTAGCTATCACATTCACTCACACCTTTCAACCAACTAAACCTATCCTGTGAGAGACGAGGGGATACGATAATGGGTGCGTGCGATAGTTAAAGTGGTAAACTTGAGATTGGAAATTCTATATATAACACAAATGCTTAGTAAAGTGTTTCTTTTCAATTCTCTTTTACAAGAGCACTCAAAACAAGAAAAGAGAGCACTGCCACTAGGTGGCAGCAACTGAAAATAGGTCATTCTTAGTTTACGATTTGATTGATTGAGTCGATACCAGGCTATTTTACTGTAGTTTTGAACAGTAAATGTTTGAGAAGGAGGCTTTGTTATTGAATAATGACTCATATAAGCAGGTTTAAAAGTAAAGGAAGTCCTCGAATTGGGGTTGCATTCATTATTTTGAAAAAAAACTCAGTTTCTATTTCTGTTCTGTGATTTATCATTGGCTGGTAACAGTGGAATATTCATGTATGGGTGATGTGAACGGCAAAGCACTTTGAAACACTGTTAGAAAACATGTGGCTGAATATTGTGGGGGTTGTTTAGAGGGAAAAACCTAGAACTTTTTTAAAAAGGTATAAAGCCTGTTTAAGAGAACATGACATATTTAGTGAGAGTTATGTATAGTAGGTCCAGGAAGTCGATAACTTTTTAACCAGGCTAACTAATCGCAAAGTTTTTACCGTGTGACCCCTTTTGCACTTGGAAATGTTCGAATCGAAGTAAGCTAATTCAAAACTGTCAGAAACTTCGTATAGATGTCAAAAAAGGTGGCCGATCAAGAATAAAAGAAGAGCTAAAACAAAGTTTCACATTGTCCCGATGAAAGAAACACCATACACAACTGTCCAAAGCTCCAGGTATTTTCAAAATTGCTAAGGGGGTCATAACATATTTATTATGGCCATAAGGCGTGTATAAAGAATAAAAATATATTTGACTTTTCATAAAGACCTTTAATAAGACAAGCATGGCGATTTAATCTGAGTTTCAGGAGCCGTTTTTACACGGCTAATGCCTAAATGAATTGCTGTTTGTATGAATTCTGGATGAATGCTTGTAATTTATTTTTCATATAAAAATACTGGATATCGTCCTTGACTCTCACCTGATGTTGACGGCATTTCCTCTTGCATATTCCCAGCAGACCCTGCATCAGCTTGTACTTGAGGTTGTTGTGCGACTGGAGGTGGAGCAGCTAGAAATAATTAGTTGGTAAGTTTTAAAGGAAGGCGTAAAACTTCTAATAAGGATTTCATTCGCTTTGAAACTGTGAAATCCAAAATAATAAGATGTTAACCAAACATTTATTTCTTCCTGCCATGTCACGAAGTCAAACAAATTGCCTTCAAAATGAAACAGTTGTTAGTAAATTGCCCGAGAAAGTAAAATAAACATACCATTATTGTCATAATGCAAATGGAGGTGCTGAATATTGCCTGCGTGAATTATTTCTGCCTGAGCTTGCTGAATGTTATCGACTTGAATCACTTCGCCATGAACTTCATTAATATTCGAGCCTGAAAAAAGTCAAATCAATCTTCATTCACTGAAGAATAAACTACAATCTCTGTTTCATTGAAAATTATAGTTTGAATCCTAAATATCCACATATATATTATGAAATCGGGTTTCCTGCCAGAAATATATCTTGGTACTACTGAAGTATGTAAAACAAGATGGCGGACATCGGAATGTAATATGTGTACTAGGTTAGGGTTAGGCCATAATTTTAGGTATAAATACTACGGGAGGCTCTTGGCTAGTCTTCGAACTGATAATAGGACTAAAATAAGGAAAATTGGAAAAAAATTATCGCCTAACCCTAACCTGTTACCCATGTTACGTTCCGATGTCCGCCATCTTGGTTCGCATACTTCGGGAACACCTATATCTTGGTACTCCTGAAGTATGTAAAACAAGATGGCGGACACCGGAACGTAGTATGTGTACCAGGTTAGAGTTGAGCCATAGTTTTATTTTTTTCATTATTTTAATTTTAGTTCGGGTACTAGCCAAGTGACTCCCGTACTATTTGAACCTAAAATTATGGCCTAACCCTAACCTGGTACACATACTATGTTCCGGTGTCCGCCATCTTGGTACGCACACTTCAGGAGTACCCATATTTTATGTGAACATTCCTGATTCAAAATATAATTTTTCAATGAAACTGAAATTTTATTTCAATAAAGTTCCTGCAGAGCACAATGAACTTAGTGAATTTAAATCGGACTTCAAGGCATTTAGCATCTGTCACTGCGATTCAATAATTCCCAATAATTATCATGCACAAGTTGCAAAGTTCTTCACAATATCATTTTTTTTTTCAAATTTGTAGACAACGAATGATACTAAAATAACTTGAATGAAATCTCACCCTGGATGTTCACAATATTAGCTCCCTCTTGCTGTTGACCTTGATCTGCCATTATTGAGATTAAAGAAACCACCTGATGAAAAAACAATAGAATCAATAGAAACAATAGAACAACATATCGAATTTTCTGGCTATTGAGTTGCTTTTATGGGCCCGATTCACTAAACACACCATATTCAAAGATTATATCAACGTTCCAGTTAATGGGTCGTTCAAAATGATTGCTGCTATCTTTTTATCAGCGCTAAATTACAGCTTTATTCTTCAGAATATGAACATTATGAGGCATATTGGTGCTTAACTGACCAACAGAAAAAGAATTTTACTGTCCAGTTATATTGAAGCGTTAAAACATACTGGGCAATGTTCACAAATCACAACACAACGTAAGTACTTCTAGTTGGCGTAGCACAACCATTTTTGCATATGCTATTCCTAGCCCCCACCTGACTATGCCATTCAAAAATTATGTCACTACGATGCCACAGTAACATAATGAGGCCGTCCAAACTATACGCACAGACGATCACCTGAAATTGAGCAAGTTATTTCTCATGCTTTCTAGCCGTAACGTTCCCCATTAGAGAGATGGCTGGCATTAGTGAGTTCATTATCTTCGATGCTTATGCCTTTTCGTGTCTTTACTTTGCTAAGTTTTTTGACATGATTGTTAGGTCGTAAAGACGTAATCTTTGGATGACAGAGCCAGGTGGGGGTTAGGAATAACATAAGCAAAAATGGTTGTGCCATGCCAAATAGAAGTACTTGCGTCGTGTAGTGAAAATATTTCTGTCATTTTTTTTTGTCGGTTGACCCACTAGTCGGGAAATGCAGCAATAACATACCTATATTTTGTTAGGTATTTACAGATGGTGTTATTCACATTGTTCAAATGAGGTTTTGAAATCTTGATGTAATTATTAAGCTCTATATGTTTCATTCTGCTTTGAGAACAAAAAGTCAAGCTTCCCAGAAATACTTGTGGTATTACCCATTAAGCATTTTGAGACACATACAGATTATTGTGATTAATCTTACCTTATCTTCCAATAAATAAGAGTATTATTCCAGTATCCCTCTAATCCTTCATTGGGCAGTTATATCAAAACAATATGAACATACTGTTGACAACTGTTTCTATTTTTTCAATCATATCAACCTAATGTTCCAATATCTATAGGCCTAGATTACAAAAAAATTGTGGTTACAAGTCAATCTAGGTTATTGAAATACATGTAAATCTTTATTATTATGATTCTAGGGATTCAAGCACAAATATTAATCGAGAAAACATGCCGAGATGGTTAAAAAAAATATGCCAGGCCTTGCATATCAGTCAGTCAGTGGATAGGCCTAATAGTAATAATAAAACATGGTAATTTTCTTACAAATATGACGAAAATATTACACAAGAACTTGGCGTCTTCATCTAAGCAGGGGTTCTCAACCTTTTCTCTGTTAAGTACCCTCCGAGTCACCAAACAATCAACGCGAACCCCCAGTAATCAGACACCAAACTAAATTGTGATATATTGACTAACAATTTGCTGTAACGACTGCCAAGCCGAGCAGTTCACATTGTTGCGTCACAATTACAACAACGCAATATCAGGGAAAATGTACGAGTTTCAATTGGAACTTTTTTTCCTCTTTCAGTTACTTTCTTTATTAAGGGATATTAAAAAGAAGCAACACACGAAAGCTCGACTGTCATCCAAGTACCCCTGGAAATCTTCTCGTGAACCCCAGGGGGTTCGCGAACCCCAGGTTGAGAACCCCTGATCTAAAGACTTCCGCAACGCAGTTTGACATTGTTGGAAGTGAGCAAAATGATCTACGTACATCAGGTTAATCAGCTTGAAATCTCAATACAGCAATATTTTTATAACTTATAAATCTGAATTTTAGGTTTTATTGAAATCTCGTACGACATCTTGCGATCACTAATAAATTATATATATTGTCAACGCCATCGACCGAATAGCGGGCAATCATTTTTCGGCAAACTGCCGGTCTTTTTAAAAAAAGAATTAATTATGCAACCCTAAAAAAGTTGAGAATCGATGTACATATAACAGCGTTATCAACAATAATTAAAATTGAGGATATACAGCGCATTTTTGTCAAGATATTGCCGTTTGAATTTTCTGTCCGAAATTAGGCAATTTCACGGTGCAGCCTGCAAGCATAAGTAACTTATACTATACATATTATACTAGAGTTGCACAAACCGTGATCGTAGAAATGATACTCTCAACCAAATCCTGATTTGCAGTACGGCATCCATGTACCGTCCAGTCACTAACTCGAGATTTTTACCGCACCCAGCCCAACTGAGTTTCTTTATTCGTCACCTGGTATTCCGGCGTATTATCTATTATGTATTCATCCGCCCCCCCCCCCCTCCCTCCAACAACCCCCACTCCGACCCCGTACAGACGCCATATTTGTCGCTTCGTTAGGATCTCGCGGACTCTTGTCACAGATAACGTTAATTGTATATTTATTTTCCAAATAATAAAAAGAAATCAATTCCTGTGCCCTATTTTCTTGAGATTACAAATAAATGATTAACTAACTGACTGATCGACCCAGACAAGAGATTAAGCAAATATGATGACGTTGGAGATTCCACAGTGCGAATTAGCTGATATGTTGACTAAATACTCACGCTGAAAATAGCGCTCACCTACACATCAATTCATTTTGCGAAATATAAACGTGTTCATGCGCTTTTGCTAGAAATCAAAGTATAACATTACAAAAAACTATATAATATTTAAAAACATACATTTTTTACTAATCCTAATGTATCTAAGAGGCAACCCATTCGGATAGTTTAAAATATTTAACCTTGAGCTTCATAATCTTAGGATTTAAACCTTTATAAAATTTATTCTGGAAGAATTCACCGAATTTGAACCGGAAAAATATCGTGGTACCAGTTGTACAACGAGATCCAAAGTTATATTTTTGGTGCTCCCGAAGTATGTGTACCAAGATGGCGCACAACCTGAACATTCATGTGTATCAGGTCAGGGTTCAGGTTGTGCGTCATCTTGGTACACATATTTCCGGTGAGCCATATTTTTTAAAATCCTACAAAACGGAAATGACTTTTCTACGACTACGCGCCCTTTCAACAAACACTTCTATTTAAAAATCGAAACCTAACAAGAGAGGTCAAATGTGTACATATTAGGTTTATTGATCCATCAGTTTACTTCCATTTATTTAAATAGCATCCTAATAGGAAAAGCAGTCTCACTGAGTAACACGAGGTTTGCGCCAAAGATACAAATGTACTTTTCATTCTCTGGTCTTATTGTGTTAATATTTGGACAAACATACAAAGCGAAATCGGACGGAAGTTTAATCACATTGAATTAAATTACATTTAAATTTTTTGCAATAAGGTACAGAGTTTGAATAACACAAGGTTAAAGAACGCTCCGGAAGTATGTGTACCAAGATGACGCACAACCTGAACCTTAATCTGGTACACATATTATGTTCAGGTTGTGTGCCTGGTACACATACTTTGGTAACTCCAGTGAATTACATAACACATGAATGAACATCAGCTTTTCCGAAATAGCCACATACATTGTTTAATTATATTTTAAAGTTTTTAGTAAGTTTTTAGATTTTTATACTTATATATAAATCGCTTTTGCATCAATCAGAACCTGAAAAGTGCGATTACTCATCGGCGAAGATAGTATCGAGCAATCAATATTTGTGAAGGCCTTTCTAGCAACAGAAGGCAAATTCCCTAAAGCAACGTCCGCAACCAAGCGGTTAGGCGAAAAAAAAACATTTTAGGGGAGCTGTGGAGCCACTGGTCAACCATAGAGGGGAGTCCTTTTTAAACCACGAAAAATGGCTGACAACGCCCGCGATTTTAACACAACTAATATTGTTATAAATGCTGATTGGTTTTGTGTTAAGCCAGTTGGACATCAATTTTTTTCTGCTGAATTGTACCTTCCGTCAGAAATACGCGAAAGTTTTTTATGTACGGTAATCATCAGCAACGAGACGGAGTTCCTAATTTTCCAGCTGGCAGTAAAAGAAAGTTAAAAACATGAATGGGTGGTCTGAATTCGTTAATTAGATTCTTTTTTATATTTCATGTGGGCTGTGATATCCCATTCCTCTGCTCCTAAATTAACAATTATCGTTAACGACTATGTAATTGGATTTTTGTGATTCGTCTACTTGCAAGTATCTACAGTATCTGCGCCATTTTCACCTTCACTGCATTTACCAGCACGTTAACAGTAGGCAAATATTTGTCGACGAAATTCGGTTTTCACAATAATATTAGACCTTTGCCCTAACTCAGTATTTAATGAAATCTTTATTCAAGTCGATAAACAACTCTGCGGCTACCATTTACCCGTTAAATTTACAGCAAGGCTAACCCATTTAGTCGATCCTGTTTGACTATATTTGGAATGAATATAGCATACGTGAGATACACTGGTCCGGGAGGCCGCCGAATCAAGTCTATTAATCTTCTGACTTCTGATGAAGATATTACGGCGCAATATTCGACTTGGCAAATATAAATGTTTGTTTGATGGTAAAATTCATCATGTTTGGGCGCATTATGCACATTTAGAAATTGAAACGATGTCATACACACTGAGAGAGAAAAGGTAAAATACCATAAATTTTGCACCAAATAAAAATTGTACCTATATTAAACATCGTTAATTGTAAGAATAAAAGATTTACGTGTACCCATAATATCGATCTTTTGTAGAAAGCCCCCTCGACTAATGCACAAATTTAAGATTCGGGAACACACCGTCGCCACGTTTAGAAATAACAACATTAGAAATTATCCAGTCAGGGTTTGAATTTTCAGTGCAAACGGTATTCTTTACTCCAACCCTAACGGACAGGGCTTTCTACAAACGATTCCAAAATACTCTCGATTGCCGTCAATACAAATACTGTACATACTGAAGTTAATTTAACAACCTTTTATATATTCCAAATTAGCATTGTTAAAATTACACGCGGATCCGCATACGAATTTATCCCTGATTATGGGAAAATAAAAGATAATTATTGCAAAGTACATTCAATCAATTTTGAGCAATTTCACCTCTGGCACATCAATTTTGATCCCGTAACATTCGGGCAGAATAATTATGGGTTGAAGAGTATGTGCTGATTTAACTACTACAAGGTAAGAAGTGCGCACATAAATTATTTACAATTATTTGCTCGCAGATAAAAATTAGAATAGGCTACTATAAAACATTTCGCTCCTGCAAAGAATTCGTGAATAGGTTATGGCACAAGCAAAAAAATCCACAAATATGGGTGTATGGGTGGGTGTTAGGGTGTATTATGCGAATTATTTATTGCTAATATAAGAATATAAAATCGAAGATATATAGGATAAATAAATATCTTTCGAATTGAGAATTAACGTACAACCAAGGATACGACGATGTATAACATAGTTTCCAATAATTAGAAATCTGGAATCACCTCAAAGTACAATATTCAAAACGATACTACTACACTACGAAATAAATCGGTTGTTTGGATAGAATACTTACTCGACTACCTACGAAGCTAGGTTACATAACCGAGTCCAACTGCTAACTTAGCATTATTTTCAATAAGTATACCATGTACAGTGATCATGAATAAAAAAA